CAGCCTTGCGGTTTCCAGCCAGGACTGTGTTGGATGGGGTCCTTGTCCCCTCTTGATGCTGGTGCCCTGGGCTCCAGAACCAGAGGGATCAGTTGACTCTGGAGCATCATGTGGTGGCCGCTCCTCGCTCTCCTGTGTGTTTAAACAGTTACACAAAAGTTTATGTTGAGGGCTGGGGCAGTGCCTCGGTGGGAGAGCGCGTGCCTCGCATGCTCGGGCCACTGGGTTCCATTCTCAGCACCACATAAATAAATGAAATAAAGGTATTGTGCCATCTACAACTAAAAAAAGGTTTAGATTGGTCCTCATTCCACAAGCCAGTTGTTGAGCTGCTTTTCACAGGTGTCCCATCCTAGGACCTTTTATGAAGGTTGCCCAGTGTCTGGGGGACACTCTGCATGTCCCAATGTCACTATTGTGAACAGTCCTGTTAAATATTCTTCCTTTTTTTTTTTTTAAATACAATACCTTTATTTTTATGTGGTTCTGAGGATGGAACCCGCGACCCGCCCGTGACCCGCCCGTGACCTGCCCGTGACCATTCCTGTGACCTGCCTGTGACCATTCCCGTGACCTGCCCATGCTAGGCGAGTGCTCTACCGCTGAGCCCCAGCTCAGCCCTGACGTGGGTCTTTGACACTCCTCTTCCCGCCTGTTCCCTCAGCGGGAGGGTGCTTCTTAGACCAGGACCATGGGGCCAAAGGGCGTGGGAACTGGGAGTCTCCCCCAGGGATCTTTGTTACCCAAAGGCCAAAAAAAAAGGAGAAAAGGAAGACAAGTCTCTGGAGGAGGAGAGGAAGCCTGGCCCCGTTCTCCTGGCCAAGAAACCTCTGGACTGGGCTTTCCGTGGCTGAGCCGCCCTAGCTCCAGGGACACTGGCCAAGGAGGCGCGAGATCAGCTGAGGGCTTGATGGGAGGGCCATGTGCCAACTGGCAAGCCGCGTGAGCTCGCCCTCGTCAGGCCTCGGTTTCCCAACTCCAAAATGTGGGAGGTCCTGGGGATGACCTCGAGCCCTCGGGAAAGCTGCAGTTCAGGTGCTGGGCCTCCCTGGGCCTCCCTGGGCCTCCCTGGGCCTCCCTGGGCATCTTGGCTTCCAAGAACGTCATTATGAACAATCAGAAAATATCTGGCCCCACATTGTCCTCACCACCGAGTAAGGAGGCCCTAATGGGCCTGGGTGTCCACGTTCGGATCTCAGCCAATGTGACTGCGCCAGAGGCCGCCTCGGCCAGTCACACCAACAGTCTCCATCATTGGCATCGTCTCTTCCTGAAGTGGTTGTCTACCTGGGTGTTGTCTACCGAGCCAACCCCCACAAGAACACAGACCTGCAGAGGGCAGGCCCCGTGTCCTGCCTGATGTCAGAGCCAAGCTGAGCCCTGTGCCTGGCACTACCCACGTGCTGATAGCCACCCCCTGGAGGGAGCCCTGGGAGGCTTATGGTGCCCAAGTTCTTGTCCAGGTGCAAACCCCAGCAGCATTCCAGGTGGGCCTAGACACCCCGCTGTTCCTGATCACAAGGTTTCTGGGTCAGAGAGCTGACGATTACTGCAGCACACAGTACCTTCAGAGCTGGGTCCCCACGCCCCAGCCCTTCAGAGGTGGAGCCCTGATTTCCTGGGCCACAGAGCTTTTGGAGGTGCTGGACAGCTCCCAGCTCCAGCCACCTGACCCTAGAGTGCACAAGTCCTACTGGGGAGAGGAAGAGGAGGTCCCCGGGTTCCCACCCTGGAATGTAAACAAGCACCTCAGCTGAGGACCCGATCACCCAGTGGTCTCTAACTTCCAAGGCTGCCTTGGGCTCAGCATCCTAGACTCGCTGGCCACAGAGAAACCAGAAAATGTTCTTGAACCTCTGTTCCCTGACACACATCTCCTGGATCAAACCAAGCTACCATCATCGAGTGTCTACTGCACGTCAGGACTTCATACGAGGTGTTGACCCACCGCAATGGGCCCCTGCCTCTTGTGGCAGATGCAAGCTGAGGCTGCAGGTGGACGGCCGGTGGGCGTCATTGCTCAGGCAGGCCTGGGTCCTGCCTGGTGAGGGCCGGAGCCATGCTCCCAGCCTCGACTGCAGCTTCCCCGGAGTCGGTCAAGTTGGTCTCGTTTGGTCAGCTGCAGTGACACTTTTGAAAAGGGAGGCCTCCTGTCTGTCTGTCCTTATCCACTGGGTACCAGGCACTGTGTTGGGCACAGAAAAGGTTAGTAGGCCCAGTCCTTTGTCCTTGTGAGACCCACTGTCTCTTGTGAGCGGCAGACGTTCACTGAAGAATCACCCAGAACAAGGGAAGGAGGGTGGTACGTGCAGGTGCAGCCCAGGCTGGGGACAGTCCTTGGAGTCTTCCTCCGAGGGAATTTTCCCTGGTCCTGAGTCCCGAGGCCGCAATGCAAAGGCCTTTCCGTGGCCAGGCCCATGTAAGAAGATGTTGTGGACAAAGGGAAGGAGGAAGGCAGGATCCAGAGCTTGCCGGGCCTGTGGCCGTGGGGGCTGATTTTTTTCTCAAAGCACTGGAGAGCCACTGCCAGGTTGCCAGGCTGCCAGGATGCCGGGAGAGGGTGGAATTAGCCAAAGCAACTTTGACCAGCACAGACAGCCACGTGTCCCCGTTAAGTAGAATCCCTTTCCTGTTCCTTCCTAGGAACTAGAGAAGAAAGGTTGAAAGACAGGAGAACAACCAAATTTGATGAGAAGCAAATTGCTTGGGATAAGGTTTGCATTTCTTTGGTGACAAGGGTGTCACCCAGTGCATGCTGGCACAGAGAAGAGCAGCAGTTGTGATTTACCGCGCACCCCCAGGTTCACCTGGCTGTCAGCGGGGTGTGGGGGGGCCTTGGAGGCTTCATAAGTGCCTTAGGGCTATTTGCCAGGCCCAAGGGCAGAAGCTTCCAGAGACACTGCTGAACACTGTCACTGTTGCTCCTGCACAGCAGCCCACCTGGGCCACCTTCACAGCAAACAGTGGTAATATTTACCAAGTATTTCTGGGAAATGAGTGCAAAGTGCAGGAAGCGCAGTGCTAATCGCTGGGACGCAGTACATCGGCAACACAGGGCACTTAATGAGCCTGGGAGGGTGGGATTCCAGGAGAGAAATGTCAGTCGCAGCAATGTCAACAAGAGGCTTCCAACGTCTTCATCTTCTCCGTGGGACTGTATTTCAGTCTCCAGTCACAAATGATCCTTGAGAGAGACTCGGGGATAGCAAGGGCAGGGGTGCTTGTGGACCCAAATTAGCAGAGAGCAGCCAGGGCACCAACGAGACCCATCTGAAGAATACTAAAACTTGGGGCTTCGTGTTCTGCCGTGAAAAGTGATTGCTGCAGAGTTGGATCATTGTGGGGTGCTCTGACCTGAATGCTTGTGTCCCCCTCAAAATGCCTATGTTGAAGCCTAACCCCAAGATGTCAGTACGAGGAAGTGGGCTTCTGGGCAGCGGTTAGGTTGCTGGTGATCGGGGAACTGCCCTCGTGTCATTGAAGGCCTGGGAAGTACCCTGGCTGCCCATGGTGATGGGATCTTGTCTAGGTCAGGGAAGGACGCGGTCACCAGGACACTCCCCATCTCAGGCAGACCGGTTTCTTCCAACCTCTTATTGCTGGGACATGGAGGAGGCTGGAAACAGGGTTCCCAAGTGGCTCCACCTACACCCACCTCTTCAGCAGCTCAGCCTGTGGGCCAGAAAGGCCAGGAAGCCACTGGCCCTAGCCCAGACCAGCAGGCGAACACTCACCCACTCTCCTTTCTCTGCAGTCCCTGACAGCGTCATCATGAAGATACTGGCTGAACGCCTGGACCGGCAGGACTGTGTGCAGAAAGGGTGGGTGCTGCATGGCGTCCCCCGAGACTTGGACCAGGCACAGAAGCTCGACAGCCTGGGCTACATCCCCAACAGGTGAGCCGTCTTGCCAGAGCCAGGCCCTGGGCATTCTCCCTCCAGGACTCAGAGAACTGAGTCCATCTGACAGTGTTCTCATGTTCTTGAAGTGGGACGGACGCGGGTCCACCCATTTCCACCTACCCACCCCACTTGCCCTGGGCACTAGGAGGTTCAAACCCTGGCTTTCATGCTCCTTGCTGGATCTGATATCTTCACCCATAAATGGGAATAAATACCATACTCGCCTTCCTTGTGAGATTGTTGTGCAAATCAACTGATATTTTCTTCTACTATTTCAATAGTTTCGCTTTTTTTGCACTTAGATCTCTGACGCCCTTGGTATTTGTCTTGCTGTGGGTATGCAGTGTGAGTCTTCTTTGTGCCGATGGTTAACATTTGTTCCAGAACCATGTTGAATACTGTTGAGTAGCCTTGCCTTCCTCCACTGCCTTGAACCTGAGAGGGGCTGCAGTCATAGTGGTGCAGAACGAAGTGAAGGCCAGCCAGGGTCAGGGCCACTTGATGAGAGCTCGTGGGAGCAGGGGGCAGAGGCTGCAGGCAGGCAAGTGGGCGAGGGCAGCTTCCTCCCGAGCAGGCTGTGGGCCTGGGGAGCTGGGCTGGGCTGACGCAAAGTGGGCATCCTGCATGATTGGTGAGGGAGCATGTTTGGCTTCCTCTGCGTTGGGAATGGTGGCAAAGTAAGGGAAGCTGGTCCTGACTCTTTGGGGCTGAGGGCTCCTCATTGGGTTCCTGGGCAGTTGCTGTGGATTGTGGTTCTGATTCTGCTTTTGTGTATGGTCTGACCATTGTCCATTTGTATGTCCAGCCTCTCAAAATATGTGGGTCCCTTCCTGAACGTTCTGTTTTCCACATGTCCCTTTCTGCAGCAGTGCCACACTGCTCACATGTTTCAATATAAATGCAGGCCACGGCCCTCCCATCACTCTCTCTGCCATCTCTTTTACATGCTCATTGCTCCTGGTGAAGGCTGTAGCACTTCACGATGTGTAAGGGGACTTGAATGGGACCTGCCTTCCGTTTGTAAGCTGATGTGGGGTCTCAGGTGTTGGAACAGAGCACTCTTGGGCCACACTGTGAAGCATATTTCCGTGTGGTGTTATCTGTGGTTGTTCATGTTGAGACTTTGATGAAGTGATTTCTCCTCCTTATTTTCTAGATTGTTCAGGAGAACAGAAACAGGATTGATTTTCCCTGTTGATTCTGTGCTCCAGCCTCCTTCTAGAACCCTCTGCCCGTCCCTGGAAGTTTTGCAGCTGGTCCTTCTGCGCCCACAGATGGTTGCCCTGGGCCCCTCCTTTCAGCCGCAGTGCTGCCCTGGCTGGCGCGTATTGGCTGGGCAGTGCTTGCAGAACCAGGCCCGGCCGGGGGCTGTTTTCCTGACCCGAGGGCTGTCTTGATAGGCAGCACTGCTGGCCACAGGCTTTGGTTTGAGGGATATGCATTTTTCATAAAGTTACAGAACTGGGGCTCCATGGGTGTCAAATGTCTTAAGGGGATATTGAATTTTATAAAGTCCATTTTAAGAAACTTTAAAATGTTTTCTCTTTACGACATGTTCGTGTGATGACTTACGTCAGTACCTATTCTATTCTTGGGCTGGGTCATGGCATGTTAGTCTCTCAATACTGCTTGTGGCAGGTAGACTTTTGACCCTCATGATATTTGCCCCCAGCTGTCATGCCTCTGAATGTTATGTGACAAAAGGGATTTTTCAGATGTAATTAGGGTTACTGACCAATTGACCTTAAAATAGAGAGGTCCCCCTGACATATCTGGGTGGGTCACAATAATCACATGAGCCCTTGAAGCACAGGGGACAGAAGAGGAAGCTGGAGGGAGTCCAAGCAGAGGAGGATTTGACACACCTCTGCTGGCTTGACACGGCAGTGGGGACCCGGGACACCAGTGAACCCAGGAGAGCACCTCGGCCTGGCCCACCTTGGCCTTGGCCCACTTAGACTCACGTTGGGTCTCTGGCCCACAGAACTGTGAGATAATCGATTGGAGTGGTTCTGAGCAGCAGCTTGTGGAGATACCTATGGCAGCGGTAAGACACTAACCGGCTGGGGGCTGGGATGGACGGGTGTGTCCTTAGTTAGGTTTTTGCACTTATGTGCACAAGATGGGTCTGAAGTCCCGTGTTTTTGTGCTCCCAGGCGTTGGTGTCAGAGTGTGATCATCCCCAGGTCTCCCTGCCTGCTCCTATCGGGAAGAGTTTTTACAGCTTCACAGTAACTATTCCTTGGAGCAGGCACTTTGGAGCAGAGGTGGCTTGTTAACAACTTGATTTTGCTTGCAGCATTTAATTTCTCTCTTTTCTCATGCAACGAGTCTCTTCCTAGACAATCACCCCTCTCCCGCCCAGGTCTTTAAGTCATTATTGGCATGAGTCCCCCTTCTGTGGGCTCTCCCATTTCTTCTGGACCTGTGGTCATTTTTTCTTTATTGTTGCTAGTTTTATGTGTTTGTTTCTTCTTCTTTTTTGAGGATTACTTTAACTAGTAGCGCCCCCCCTCCTCCTTTTTTTTTTAAATTTTTCTGTTTCCTTTTTCTGTTTTGTTTACCAAAGAAAGCTTGGCAAACAAAATGTTTATCAATTCTGCTGCTGCTTGACTTGTATTCTATTTTCATGTACTTTTGTTTCTCTTGATCAATGACTTCTTTTTTCAATCTTATTTTTAGTTGTTGATGAGCCTTTATTTAATTTATTTGTATGTGATGCTGAGAATCGAACCCAGTGACTCACACATGCTAGGCAAGAGCTCTGCCACTGAGCCACCACCCCAGCCCGTGATTCATGGCTTCTTTTTGTGTTGGGTTTGTTTTGTTAATTTTATAAGACTTAAGCAAAATGCATGATCTGCTAATTTTCTGTGTTTCTGGTTCAGTGCTAAAATGGTGAAGGCTTTGAGTGGTCCTCTGTTTGCAACGGTAGCTGTAGCTCCTATTTTTCATGTCTAATGTTTTCATTATTTTAAAGGCATTCCGAAGGTATAGCTGAGCTTTCTTACACTTGAGAATCATTTAGGAGCTTGAACATTTTCATGTCATTGGCATTTTGTTGTTATCATTTCAACTTTTATCATTAGCTTTTCATTTTCCTATAGAGTATGGATAATTCAAGTACGGCATCAAAATTTTTGAAACTTTTCTTCTGTGGATAATTGTTCAGTAGGTATTAAAAAATAACATGTATTTCTAAGTTAAAGTATATATTAAGTCAGCCTTATTGGTTTTATAATTTGTATACCTCCTTATTGTTGCTCCCGAGTGGTGGTAGTCTGTCTGTCATCAGTCCATCGAGGACTAAGTGATCTGTTACCTGCCCTTGAATATTGTGTTCCTTTTTCTTTTTATGGTGTTTCTGTGGTTTTTACTTTGCATGTTTTGGTGCCATATTATTCGGCACATGAAGGTTCATGTTAGCACCGTGTTCAGTTGGAAGTGTGTCTTTGGTGAAAGTGACTCAGGTGGCTGCTACTCGTCCACTCAACACTCTCCCCTTTCTCTGCAGTAACAAAACCTGGATTTTCGGAGGCGCACCCCAGCGTATGAAAAGAAAAGGCTCTGTCCGTTTCCAGGCTTCTTGATGGCTCTAGGGAACAACAGCACTCAGTTCTGCCAGTGGGCTCCAAATAGCCAGCCAAGTCTTCCTTCTAGGAAACCTACTGTGAGGGAGCTTTCCCCGCTGGAAGGAGCGAATTTTTGTCTTTCTTTTCTTACATTTTGTTTTTCCTAAAACTAGTAACTACCTTGCTTTTTCACTTGATGAGTTCTCTGTGTACCTATTAATTGGTAATTTCCACCTACAATAGCCTCTCAGAACTGTTTTCCTCAACGTCCTCATAGTATGTGACCTGCCAGTCCCAGTTTTTTCTTGGTGACCCCCAAACTCTCCTGTTTGGCCTGGGTTTTCTCTGGGCTCCTGCCTGGCTGCTCTTCTAGGACATCTCCTCACTAAGATCAGAGGGCCTCCCTGTACCTTCCTTCCGAGCCGGAGCCCCTGTTTCCGGAACACTCATCTCTCTTTTTCCCGAACTCCCTGGTTGGACACAGCACATCCTCCAGTGCCTTCCAGGTAAAAGGTGGCGTGGCAGCACCAGGCTGTGGCACCTGAGACACAGGCGTGCCAGTGTGAGGAGGGCAGCCTCCCGCAGCAGTGCCATCACCTTCCCCAGGTCAGAGAGTTCATATGTGATCTTGCTTTTGGTTTCTTACATTGTTTTAATTGAGCACGTCCATCAGCAGCTTCCTGGGAAAGTTCGGAAAGTGATTTTTTTTTTTTTTTTTTGGCATCTTGTATGTTTGACGGTGTCTTTTTTTCTCTCTTCAAACTTGTTGGGTAGTTTGCTGGGAGGGAACCACAGGCTGGGAATCATTTTCCCTCCGAGGGTTGGTCTCCAGGGATGCTGTTGAGAGGTCCCTTGCTAATGCTCGGGGACTTGTGACTCTTCCCCTCTGGGAGTCGCCAGTGAAGTTTCCTATGTCCTGACCCAGGTCTGATCCACTCCATTTTGTTGACTTTGGGCGGGGGGCCGTTTTCTTTGGGTTCGGGCCTTTTTTTGCCTTTGTTGCCACTTGCCTTTCTTTTTTTTGTTTGGCCTTGGGGGGCCCGGCTTGCCTTTTGCCTTTTTTTTTTTCGTTGTTTTTTTTTTTTTGGGGGGTGGGTTTTTTTGCTTCTAGATATTTTTTTAAGTTCATTTCCCCCCCTGCCCTCTCTATCTCTGGGAGTTTCTGCAGAGTTCTCTTATTTTCTCGATTTTCTCTTTGTAGTTTCTTGATCTTGCTTCGTGGACTTCCTGTCTCTGAGAATGTCAGTGACAGGCTTGATTTTGGAGGAGGGGAGGGAGGAGAGGTCTCCCTCCCACCTAGTGTCTCTCTTGCCTTTTCCTTCCCAAGTCTGGTTTCCTGCCTCTCACAGTCTTCCCTTCTCCCGGGTCGGGCGCCCCTTGGCCCCTGCTTTGTCTCCACTGGGCCTTCTCCTGGATCCCCGG